CCACGCAGCCCCTTCCACAAGCATCATCATGTCCACTGTCAGTCGTGTTGAGGCTGAGAAACCACGGTCCTGAAGGAAGCCTTTGCTCACAGCCCTTGCTCCGCCCGAGTCATACTTGAGAGTCATTACAATTAAGGATCCAGATTGTACTGGCTGGTGGCGGTGCCCGTGTTCTGCCAGCCTGGCTAGGATTACTTCTTTATCAATGGAAAGTGACAGGTGCATACGTCCTCCCAGCCGGTGCCAGAAGAATGCCAGGTGTAGCCCTCAGACTGCATCGAGCCAATCTCCTTGATTTGCCAACATCCATGCATCATTCATGAGCGCCCAGACACCGCTTCCTTAAGATGTTTGCATTCTTGCTTGGATTAACTTTCACTCCCGGCGCCAACCACTTGAGCACATTTGTCGGCTATTAAGAGTCCTATGGTAGTATTTTCTTTGGGATTTTTTTTTTTTTTTTACTGTCTATATACTGCTCTTGATGTCTCTCACTATGGTCATGGCCATTTACAAAGCTGGCTTTGTCTGATTTTGGATGAGGCTGTTGTATCTTGGTTGTCAGTCCCTGAGTCAGCAGTGACAGCAATCTCCTGAACCAGGCTGAGGCCCAGGCAGGGTGGACAAACACATGTATCTCTTATCTCGCCGCGCTCTCAGTTTCCTGCTCGCCTGCCTGAGTCCGAGCTGGTTCTGAGAACCCTGATGCGTCTCTTGTCGCCGCCCGGGGCGGTCTTGGTTGATTGCGTGTTTTCTCAGGGACAGCTGGACAGCTTCACAGGGTGTGGCTCCCTGTCCCTGTCACCAGGCTAATCCCCTTTCACATCCCCCTGGTACAGATGGACAATGTAGAGATTAATAATTCACAGTCTGTGGATAAGGGGTGATCCTCGCTAGACTGGGACGTACTTGCCTTTTGTTCCAAAACATCTTGGTGATGAGGCACCCAATGGTGAGCCAGGAGTTAGAAGTAGAGAAACTGGATTAAAAAAAAAAAATTGAACAAGACAGACTTCAGTTGTCAGCAATCGGCAGCTGGCTAACCTGTTCGGGGCTCATCGCACTGCCTGATGTTTGGATAGTGGACAAGCAGAAGTATTGCTTACTGACACCTGTGTTCATAGGATTTTTGTAGCACCCAGAGGTCCTGTTGGTGTTTGTAGTCATAACTGAGTTGACTTTCAGCCCGGGTTTGGTCCCGGGGAGGAGAAATCAGGATGCTCCATGAAATACCCTTTCTGTCCTCGCAGGAGAGAAGCGGAAATGAGTGTCCTCTCTGCTCTCTGGGTTAGAGGCAGATGACTCCGTGCCCATTAGCAGTGGGATAGCGGGTAGCTGGCAGGTCCTGTGTAATCTGGTTCCCTTGTGTGTGCGCAGCAGGTACCGCATCTGGGGGGCAGTGTTCCGAGTAGGATTTATGGGGCCTTCAGGTGCCATGGCTCCAGTTGAAGAGCAATGGGGTTTCCTCTGTCTAGACCAGCAGTTCTCAACCTGTGGGTCGCGACCCCTTTGGGTGTCGAACGACCCTTTCACAGGGGTCACCTAAGACCGTCAGAAAACACATCTATAATTACATATTGTTTTTGTCATTAGTCACTATGCTTTCATTATGTTCAATTTGTAACAATGAAAACACATCCTACATATCAGATCTTTACATGACGATTCATAACAGTACGAACATTACAGTTACGAAGTAGCAACGAAAGTAATTTTATGGTTGGGGGTCCCCACAACATGAGGAACTGTATTAAAGGGTCGCGGCATCAGGAAGGTTGAGAACCACTGGTCTAGAATCTTTGGAGCATTATTATTCCTCTGTTTGTCCAAGTGTATAACACATGTTTTGAAATAGAGTATTGAAATTACGTAAAAATATCACGCACCCTTAGCAACATCTCAGTACTTCACATAATACTGTTTTCATGGTGCAATTTGACACGTTGTCTTTGAAGGTTAGAAATTCCAAAAGATTAAACAAGACATTGCAGACGTTAGAGAGGGGATCAGTGGGCTTATCAAACTCTGCCATCGTCGTAATCTGATGAAAGAACTCTGCCTCTAGGGACTTTCAACTATGCCATTTTTTTCAGATTTCCTTTATTTTTCCTAATTTAGTGCATTAGCTTTTAGTCAGATTAGGTATAAATAAGTAATTACCCTTTGTCTCGGAGGTGAAGTCATTTGATACCTCCCAGAGCACACATTTAATGTTAGTCAGACCCTCTGTTTCCTTTCTAATGGAGGCGGTGGAGATAAGTGCTTCGTTCATAGATCGAAGTGCATAAATCTAAAGCTCTGTGCACTACGTTGCTTATCATGTGACACTTTGATTTCCCTTTCCCATTAACAAGTGTCTTTAGAGCATGTGCAGTTATTGGAAAGCCATTGCTGCTTCTCATTTTGCTCAAGTCAGGAAGGCATCTCCTCTGGACATCTCTTAAACTCCCCGTGAGTAACCGGAGGCCAGGCTGGCTGAGTCATCAGCACCGAATTCCCGTTAGACCAGTGGTTCTCAACCTTGGCTGCACATTAGAATCACCTGGGAATCTTTTTAAAATCCTGATCTCTGGGCCTCATCCTCCGGAAATTCTGTTTCTTTGTTATGGGGCGGGGCCACAACATTAGTAACAAAGAAACAGAATTTCCGGAGGATGAGGCCCAGAAATCAGGATTTTAAAAAGATTCCTAGGTGATTCTAATGTGCAGCCAAGGTTGAGAACCACTGCTTAGAGAAAGGTCTGTGTGGCAACAGGGTTGGTGTGGAGAGAAATGTAGTGATAAATTCACCAGGTCTGTTGTGTATATGAGCAATAGCATTTTATCAGATTAGTGTTGAACCTTGACCTAAAGACCTGTCCTCTTTAGTTTAATCCAGGTAGAAGATGAGTTTCTGTAAGGGAAGAACCTATACTAGGTATTTTGTAATATAGGGTGTATTTTCTTCTAGCAAGTTATGGTTACTTTTTCTTTTCTATAATTTGAAATGAATGAGCTTGGAGAAAATGGAATCTGTTTCCCAAGGTCCTGGAGAATATATGTTTATAAATATTTTTCCAGCGATAATTGGTAATGAAAACGTAGGTGTTTTGTGGCTTTCTTAGGGTTCCCATATAGGAAGCAAGGAAGAGGAGCTTTTTCTCATGAGGACACCAGGAGAAATAGGTCTACGTTGTCAAAGAAGGGCCTGGATCAAAAGATGGCAACCTCATTGCCATCATTGTTGTGAGTTGCTCTTACTTAGGGAAAGTACCGTCTCCTCTGAGGAACTTAAGAATTGTTTAAATGGAATACATTTGAAATAGATAATAGGTGTGGATGAACCTGAGTGGGAATTAATGTTTTTTTTAAACATAATTATATATAGTAGTATATATATAGAAAATTAATGAGTTGAAAAATAATTTTCAAATACAGATGTCAAGATTTGAAAATGGTGACTGAAATCCGGCCTCCACCTCTAATGTATGAAGAACATTTTATGTTATAGTTACAATTTTCTGGGTTGAAACCAGTGAATTTAATCATGAGATTAGAAGAAATTTATTTATTTATTTATTTAAATATATTTTATTGATTTTTTACAGAGAGGAAGGGAGAGAGAGAGTCAGAAACATCGATGAGAGAGAAACATCAATCAGCCGCCTCCTGCACATCTCCTACTGGGGATGTGCCCATAACCCAGGTACATGCCCTTGACTGGAATTGAACCCGGGACCCTTCAGTCTGCAGGCTGACACTCTATCCACTGAGCCAAACCGGCTTTGGCGAGATTAGAAGAAATTTAAACCTGAAATCAATGAAATTACCAATTGGTTGCTTGGTGCTCCAGTTGATATTCATGTAAAAAAACAGTAGAGTGGAACTATTAGTCATATATCACTGCTGTCATTAGCATAGTTCTGCTATGAATGTAAGACTTGGATCCTTTGCTGAAAGTGTTTTGTGGCTAGTGTTTCCCTGATAATTATTCCGGTTATCTATTGCTATGTAACAAACCACCCCAAACCCTGGAGGGTCCACAGGGCTGTTAGCAGGGCTGGGCTTCTCTCTTTCTCGTGTGGTCTCGGGGCCTCTCCTTCCCACGAGGCCTCTTCACAGTGTCACCAGCCGGGTAGCCAGACTTCCTACTTGTGGCTCAGGGCTCACAAAGCAACCGTCCAAGAGGGAGGAAGCAGAACCTACCAGCACTTAAAGCCCAGGCCTGCTCTGGCCTGGGGGTAACTTGTACCGCATTGTATTGGTTAATGCCTTACAGACCTGCTCAGTTTCAACAAGGCCGGAGAGGAGAAGGGTATGAGGCTGGGGCTGGGGACCATTTTTAGAGATGCACTACTATAGTCATATGCCTTAAAATACTTTGTTTTAAACTGTATGTGAAGTATGTGCTGGTGAGTGTGAGCTTCAATTCTAGTGTTGGTCAGTTGAACTAACCAGGGATTGCTACACGAGATGTCCTCAGCCAGCAGTACATATGAAGGGCTGGTCTGCAGGGGCTGCCACTAAAAGCATCTAGTTATTCAAATCCTGATTGAAAACTCAGCCAGGCAGTTGGCTGTCTCTTGCCGGGGGAGGGACGCCGGGCCCACAGGGACAAGGAGGCTTCCCTGGGCAGGTGCTGGGTGAGGTGGAGCCCCTCTTGTGGGTTCTGCCACCCAGCCCAGTGTCCCCAGGAGGATTAGGGAGTCTTTGTCTCTTTGTCTCCTTGGTTAGTGGGTTAGAGAGGAGCTCTCCCATTCAGTCCTCCCACTGGTAGTACTGTATGTAGTGAGGATCAACCACTGAGATGTCCGTGACCTTAGAGATCAAGTCTAATCTTCAACCCTGAACTTAACCTTCCCTCGCTGCCTCCAGCATTCCTCAGCAAGCCAGAAGCAGAACTCCGCCTTTTCCTATAAAGTCTCAGAAGGATTGCTTCTCCCCTAGAAACCGCCCTGTGGAGTGTGGGTGCATGTGTCCGCCCAGACTTCTGCAGCCTCACTCTCGCCTTGTTATTGCAGAACGTGTGAGGAGAAGCTTTCACCAGCTGGGCAAATACAATGCCGCTGTTAGAGGTGGTGCACCGGAGCCTCCGGTTAGCGCTGAAGGAGGAAGTGAGGACACTGGGGCGGCCGGGCACGAGCTACAGCACAGCCATGCCGGTGAGGTGGACGCAGCCCTCACCCGGGTGACCCACAGGGAATTCTTAAACCCCGTATGGTAACAACTCTACATACAAACTTAAATTGTTTTGTATCTATTAGTGTATCATTCTTGCCCAGTGGAGTCTTAGCTCCTAAGTGGGCGAGGTTTCCTCACCTTTGCTTTGCATCCCCTGTTCTTGATGCATAATGTGTGTTTAAACAGCATTTGTTAGATGGATGGGAGAATGGCTGGGTGACAATAAACCATGGATCGCCAATAAGGTTAAGAAACATTGCTTCTGCCTTGTAGTTATTCAACTCAAAGCCTTGTTGTACCAACAAGCAACTAAGGAAAATGAGGTGTCTCCATCAAGAAGAAGAAAAATGTCCCCTTCGGTAAGTGTCAACATTTGCAACCCAACGAAAGCATTATTTTTCTAGCTGTGTTTTAACTGTGCAGTGTCATTTTAGTAGGAAATGTGGTAGGCCAACTCTGAGCAGGGCGTTCTGATAGTGTAAATACAGCATAAGAAGAAATTATTTTCCCCCTGATGATTTTAGCTGCAGAAGAGAGACTTCTATGGTGGAGGGAATCCTGGTTTTTTAACTGTGTTTTAACTGTGCAGTATCATTTTAGTAGGAAATGTGGTAGGCCAATTCTGAGCAGGGCGTTCTGATAGTGTAAATAAAGCATAAGAAGAAATTATTTCCCCCCTGATGATTTTAGCTACAGAAGAGAGACTTCTATGGCAGCTTCCTGGTTTTTTATTTTATTCTTCACTTGAGAAACATGAGTGAGGAAATAGTTTAGAGAATTTACTTTGCAACTATTAGCAAATATAAAAAAGGGACAATATGTGGAAAAGATTAGCCATTTCTTTTTTAGAGGGCTATAACTGTATTTGATCATTTTTAGAATTTACTTAATTATAATTCCAGCTGTCCTTTGTAATATGCTTTTATTGTGAATGTCAAAACCAAAGTTTGTAATCTTATTCTACATTTAAAAACACATGGTTATATAATTGTGTGATACAAGAAGTTAGACCCTATATCTTCTGAAGTTGGATTTTGTTGCTGTTGCTTTGACAGAGGGTATTACTCCTGATTGAAGCAGTGTGATAGGCTAAAGGCTAAGATAGGTGTGAAGGGAGGTGTGAGGGAAGGATTTGCCAGGTTTAAATGGCCGAAATAGTAGTAAAGACAGAATTTTACTCATGACACACACTGGGCATCAAACACCTTTCTAAAGAGTCCCTCCTTCAGGGAGTGGTACTGCAGCCTTAGCTGCCACTGCTATTCAATGGAGGTTTCTTGAAGGGAGTTGTCCCTTTATTTTAAAACTAGA